CGGGACAATGGCTGAGCCAGCCGGAGGCCCGTAGCTACAGTGGGGATATTTGAGGCTCCGCCCCCTTTGTAAAGTCACAGCCCAACAAGATTTTCCCCTTAAAACCATTTTAAAACCTCTAGAGTTGAGATGGACTTTAAGCCTATGTGATTTTGAGGTTGTACCCATTCCTCGTAAATGGGATGTTTTGCAGATTCATGGCCGAGATGTTGGGAAAATGGGAAATCATAAGTTTGTGAAAGTCTTATATTTGTGTGATATATCTGAAAATGTCAAATAGTAAACGTCTCACCTGATGCAATGCGTGTACAAGTAGAACATTAATTGTTATAATTTGCATTTTTGGTAGCATTCTTAAATTGACTTTGGTAATTGTTTGTTCGTATGCCTCTATGTAACATACTTGAATATAAATTATACATGATCTCCTAATAGTTAATTCAAATGCAGTAGTATGGGGTTATGGAATTCTGTGCCAAGGAAAGTCTGTTGTAATTTGAACAACTATATCTGCTTTCTGGTGGGGGTATGTAAAGATGAGGAATCCTATGTTAAAACCTGATAGGCAAGGATTAATTTGGAGAAGCCCCTCCAGGCATTAAACTCCGTTATAGGGGGTGGGGGTTGTTATCAGGAAGGCTTGTCCTCAAGTGGCCCATGTGCTCGGTGTGCTTAGGCAACTGGCGAATCTTCTATGTGGCAGGGGCTGGGTTAGCCAAAGGCTGAGAGAGAACGTACAGAAACAAACAAAATGCTAAAAATAAAAACATTTTTAAAAAAGACCAACTATTACATATTTATTTTGCTGCCTCTGTGTTTTCGCCTTTTTCCTGTATTTTAGTCAACATCACCTCGGCCACCAGTATAAATCCCTTTTAATCCTTTTGACTTCTGCCACTTTGCTCCCTTTTTCATATGTTTCCAGTGGCCCTCCTCTCCCAAGTAGTTTGCTGTTTTAGAAGGTGGGATTGGTCACCGTTTAAACTATTGTATCTCACTGCATCCAATATTCCTGAATACCTCAATCACAGCCACTATAGTTTACCACTCTCCAGCCTCAGTTGCAATCTCCCTGTTAGCATTTAGCACAGACAATAGCACAGATAAAACCTTCCTTCTTATGAGCTCACTGCTTCTATAGCCTAAAAAATTTATCAAAAGTCACTTAAATCCTGTGTGTAGGATTTAAGTGACTTTTTTTATCTCTCTCATTTTGACCTACTTTGCCTGCCTGTCTCTCTCTGTCTCTCTCTAAGTTTGGTGTAGTGGTTAAGTGCGCGGACTCTAATCTGGGAGAACCGGGTTTGATTCCCCACTCCTCCACTTGCACCTGGCTGGATGACCTTGGGCAAGCCATAGTTCTGATAAGAGCTGTTCTTGAAAAAGAGCAGTTTCTGTCAAGAGCTCTCTCAGCCCCACCCACCTCACAGGGTGTCTGTTGTGGGGAGGGGAAGGGAAAGGAGTTTGTAAGCCGCTCTGAGACACCTTTGGGTAGTGAAGGGCGGGGTATAAATCCAATCTCTTCTTCTTCTAAACTACGTGTTCTTAAACTCAGATCATTCTGGGTCTTTTTCTCTTCCCCATTACTTTCTCAACATCCTGATCTTCATCTGTAGCATGCATGCACTGCCTGGTAATCTTTTACGCTGTGTTATCTTTTCAGTCTCTTTTGTCTACACAGACTTCTCCCCTCACTCAGTTTTAATCTCCCAACAACTCTTAATACTTACATAGAGGGGAAAGGAGCCATAGTAGCTGTTCTCCTGTCTTTATACATCCCCACTCCCTTATTCTCTTCTATTGCATTCTTATTATGTCCACCCTCAAACCCCCAAGCCACCCTATCTTCTTTCCTCTTTCACAGCCCTCCTCAGCTTCCTCATCTCTTCTTATACCCCCCCCCCACAAATATCCTCCCCACACTGTCCTTTCCCAAGATTTCCATGTCTCGCAGTGCTAGTCCTTACTGCTTGGCATGTCAAGACAAAATTTTTAAAAAATGTTTCTCAACTTCTTCAGGAGCTTTCCTGTATTCCCCATTTGACTAAAAACAAGAAAACAAAAAGGGGGAATCTCCCTTTTAACTAACTCTTTTTCTAGTAATAAAGACCCCTTAAAACATTTGGAGCCATCGGGGCTCCTTCCTTTCGTGCTAAATGGTCAGCCAATCAGCTTCTTCGTTTAAATATAATCTTTACGTTTATAGCCTGCCTATCCCTTGCTTATTTGTTTTTCCTCTAGCTTCTTTTGTGTCCACTTTTAAAGACTATTCTGACTACAGACTCTTTACATCTTTTTTATTTCTGAAGACTCTTCTATACTGTTCTGTAGTAGTAGATTTATGACTCCTCCTGTCTCATTTCCCAGGCCTCTGTATCTACATTGCCTGGTCCTGTGAGAGGTCAGGGGCCCTACTGATCCCTGGTGATGTCGCATATTCATCTTTTCAATCTTATGTTTCAATATTTATATAGGCTTAAGTAATTTCATAACTTTAAAAAAAATTTATTCGTTTTTAAATAATCATTTACAACAATAAACATCAGAAGCATTGAACAAGCAACAACAAGAAGATCAAGTTGAGTTATAAGCTTATCATTCAACAGTAGAAACCATTCTGACATTCTTGAACCTTCATCAACCATATAAATAAAGGTAAGGAGTGCTGGTAACTGCACTGCCTTTGTCAATTAGGAGAACATGAGGACTAGATTAGAGCTAGGTCTCAGATATAGAAGAATTCTGTGTGTGTTTCATTGTATATAAAAAAGAGAACTAGAGTAGCTAGAAGAAAAGCCAAGAAGAGTAAGCTATGTTAGTAGGAAGTAGTTCTGCCTCTGTCATATACTGCAGCCACGGAAACCATGTGTGCACAAATTTTGAGTACGTCGTGGTAATACCAGATCGTTGTCTTTGAAGTGAATCAGAAATTTTACACATAATAAACTGGTCCCCGACTTTGTTTCTCCATACGGTCAGCATTGGGGGAGAGACGGACTTCCAAGTGGTAGCTATGGCCTGACGGGCTGCTGCCAGCAAAATCAATGTAAGTTCATTACAGTTGTCTTGTGAGTCCAGTGTTTCATTTATTTGAAGTAAGATAACTTCCGGTTTAAGAGGAATTGTTTGAGAGGTGATCTTGTTTATCTCTGCTATGACATTTTTCCAGAAGAGGTTGATGTGTGGGCATTCCCACCAGCAGTGGAAGTGACTTCCTTTAATCCCGCATTGTTTCCAGCAGAATAAACTATAAATGGGGTTGAGATCAGGGGTCGTTTCGTAGAAAAAGAGCTAGGGGGACTCATTAGCATATGCCACACCCCTTGACATCACCGGAAGTGTGTCATAAGGCCACACACCCCACCCCCACGGTCCCGGCCGCCACCGCCGGCCTTGCAGCTCCACTGCTGAGCCCCATGAGGGGCCCGGCGGTGGACCTGCAAGGCCGGTGGGAGTGCAAGGAAGCCCCGCGAAGGCCCTCCCTGGCCCCAGGCAGGCAGGGGTGGGGAGAGGCAGGGAGGAAGCAACTTACCCTCCCTCTTCTCCTGCCTCCTCCTGGCTGAACGAGGGCCGGAAGCGGGGCGGCCGGAAGCAGGGGGCAGGGCTTCGTCATGTGCCCCGCCCCCCGTACCTCACCCGGGGGAACTGCGATCCCCTGCGATCCCCCCCGAAATGACCTCTGGTTGAGATGTTGTAGACGATCAGGTGTATAGTACCAGCGGGTAGTCAGTTTGCATGTTTGCAGGTGGATATTGAAGATCTTGGCGACTTTTTTCATCGAGTTCCAGCAAGACGACCATTGCTCCTCCGTTAGTGTTTTTTGAAGATCCCGTTCCCAAGCTTTCTGATAAGAGGTGGTATGAGAACTACCATGTTCTATCAGGAGTTTATATACCTTGGAAATGGAGTTCTCAAGAGTCAGTTCAAATGTCGTCTTAAGTCTTCTGAGCATCCCTTTCTCCGCCAGGGTTTCCATAAGGCTCTTGATATGATAATATTGAAATACACAAAAATGAACATGGTCACAGTCCGTGGACATGCAAGAATAAACCCACAAGAACTGTGCACGGTGCGCTCAATATTTCTTTAACAAAAATCGTAAAGTTGTAAATATGAAAAGTACAAAAGTAATAATAATACATTCAAGTTATAAATTCAGATACATAAAGATAGAAGGTGACAATGAGGGGACGGTAGTCTCCGGAATGCAATGCCGTTTCGACAGATGTCTTCTTCTAACCGATAGTCTATAAGTTGATAATGTATGAAAAATTGCACTTCAATGGAAAAGCTGCCCGATTCACATGGAGTTCAATAGCAGTTTCACCTATTTCATTGCACAAGTAATGGAGGAGAACATCTCTCAGACAGAATAAAGCTTATGCTGGCAAGGCCCCCTGACTTCCCATCCAGCCCAGGGCAGGTGGTGGCAGGTGCGGGGAAGGAGATGGGTATTGCTTTAATTCCATTAGCCAGTGCCGCCTAAGAAATTTAAAAGCCCCCCCCCCAAAAAAATCCTGCCTACTGGCCTGTTTCTTTCCTTTCCTGTCTATCACTTTCTCTATAAAAAAGTGACATGTAAACATCGAATCAGGCTTTCGCTGGTGGCTTCCAGCCAGAGAAAACGTTATAGTGGGTGAACATGTGATGCGCGTTGGGCTTTCTGTTTCACACAATATTCTGCCAATGAGTTTAAGACCTCATTTCCCTTTAATCTTAGAGGACTCTGTAAGGTCGAATCCTGCCCTGATCCTTATTAAAGCGATTGGCAAATGATCAAACGGTGGGGTATCGCAGTTGTTTATTTGATGCTGGATTAACATGATGAGAGACCTGCCCTTTCATCAGAGGCTCCCTTTGCATTTTTGTCTCGGGGTCCCTTGAACTGGTGAAATGCTCTCTGAGGGTTAAAGAGAAGGAATCTGGAGTCCTAGAGAGGTAATTGGGAGAAAGCCATTTCCTCTCTCTCCCCCCCCCCTTGCAGAGTCGCCTTTCTGTCGTCGTCCCCCCCCCACTTCCCGGGCCACGCTTGATGAAGGGATTTGTGGTGAGCTCAAAGGGGTTGGGAGGGGGGGGGAATTATCGGTTGGGGGCCACAATGCAAGACCTACAGCAGACAGAAAGGAGGGGGGATGAAGCAGGGGGTGAAAGGGAGCGGGGGCCCCCCATCCTCTCCTTCTGAACCTGGGAGAGCCCCTTGGCCTCTCTCCGCAGAGCAGGATCCGAACCGGTGGCTCCAAGCTCCAGAGGCGCCTTTAGGAAACAGAGGCGGTGGAAGGAGGGAGGGAGGGAAGAGGTGGTACTTCTGAGGGGGAGATTTGGGGTGGAGGAGGGAGGAGGAAGGAGATGCATATCCCCAGACCAAGCAGTGAGAGACCTCCACTTAAGACCCTGGAAAGGTGCTGCTACTCTGAGTAGACCATACTGACCTTGATGGACCAGTGGTCTGATTGAGTAGAAGGCAGCTTCGTGCCTGTGTTACTGCCACCAAGTAGCTTCCAGCTTATGGCGGCCCTATGAATTAATGACCTCCAAGACCTCCTCTCCTTAACAGCCTTGCTCAGGTCTTGCAAACGGAGGGCCTGTGGCTTCCTTGATTCAGTCAATCCATCTCATGTTGGGTCTTCCTGTTTTCCTGCTGCCTTCCAACTTTTCCTAGCATCTATATATCTAATAGCCAAGTTGCCCCCGGAGTGCGGATCGCTAAATCAGCGCTCCGGGGGCACTTGGGGGGGAGGGGGAGGTTTGTGTACACGTGGGACAGTCCCCACGTGTGCACAAAAACGCTAAAAGTAGAAAATTTTTTCGGGGGGATGTTTAAATCCCCCCGAAAGTGATCGAGCGGGGGGGGGGATGGAGGAGACGGAGCTCTTCTCCCCCACCCCCGCGAGTATCACGGGTCCCCGTCTTGTTAGTGTCTATTCCAGAGCTGCTCAAAATGTGACCAAACACCACAGCCTCAGTTGAGACATTTTCTCCTCTAGGAGGAGTTCAGGATTGATTTGATCTAGAACCCACATATTGGTCTTTTGGGCTGTCAGTGGTATTAGTAAAACTCTCCTCCAGCACCACGTTTCAAATGAGTCCCCTTTCTCCCTCTCAGCTTTCTTCATTGTCCAACTTGAACACCCATACATAATAATGGGGAATACTATAGTATAAATTAGCCTCATTGTGGTCACTAACAACACATCCTGACACTTCAGGATCTTTTCTAGTTTCTTCATGGCTGCCCCGCCCCGTTTCATTCTCTTTATGACTTGTTGGTTGCGGTCCTCCTTTTGGTTGATGACGGAACCAAGGAATAGAAAACCTTTAACAATGTCAATTTCTTCATCATTAACAAAATTGTATAATTCTTCAGTAATTTTTTGTTTTGTTTTGATGTTTAGCTGTAATTCTTCTTTGGACTTTTCTGCTTTAACCTTTCTGAGTAGTTGTTTCAAATCTTCACTGCTTTCTGCCAGGAATGTGGTGTCATTTGCATATCTCAGATTGTTAATGTTCCTTCCACCAATTTTCACTTCACTTTCATCTATATCCAATCAACCTTTCCTTATGATATGTTTTGCATGTGATACGTTCTGCGTATAGATCGGAGAGACAGGGAAATAAAATAACACCCTTGGCTGACACCTCTGCCAGTTGTAATCTTCTTCAAAACATTTTTCCTGGAACAAATTGGTTGTGTTTCTATTTAGGGGGAGATTTTGCGTGGGGGAGAAGCAGGGAAGGAATGGGAGTGGAGGGAAGATTTGGGGTAGGAAGAGAAGGAGGGAGTAGATGGAGGAGGGGGAAAGGGGTGGGGGAGGCGGAGGCAGGAGTGGGGAAGGAGTGAGGGGCTGAGGAGGTGATTTCGGGTGGAGGATGATGGAGCAGATGATGATTTATTAATTGCCCCATACCTTGTACATCATCCTCTGGGTGATGTACAAGGTATAGTGCCATAAAATATACAAAAACATTAAAATTCAAAATATAACTTAGTAAAAATTACAGTACAGAATAAAATGGTCCAAGATGGCGATTTCCCTATAATATTATTTGCCCCAGTTCCGGACTGCCAGCCCCTTTTCTGGGTAGGGAGGAAGGGAACTCAGAGCAAAAAAGGGGGGAACAGGAGAAGGAACGGTGCCAAACCCTTGCTGCCCTCAACCAAAAGCTGTGTATGGGGGGGGGGGGAGTGAGAGCTTTTTTTAGAGGGTGGGGGGGGGGGGGGGGAGTGGGAGCTGAAGGAGAGATCTGAATGGGAAAGGATGGGGCAGATGTGGTGGGGGGTCCTGAAGAAAGGACCAAAGGGGCAAAGAAGAGCAGAAGGTGAATAAGGTATAGGGGAAAAAAACCCTATATAGAATGGCTGGGTGAGGGGGAGACATTGGGTTAGACGTTGGGGCAAACTCTCCTGGGACCTTCCTAGATCAAATGGAGTGTCTTGAATTGTGCCCTGATGCTATTTGGAGAGATGTTCACTGAAGGGACCAGCATAGCGGATGAGTCTGTAGCAAAAAAAGAAAAAAAGCTTTGCACCCTCTGTCTTTCTCTCCCTCCCAGGCAAGAGTAAAAAGACAGTCTTGATGTCTTCTCCACCTTCTCTGCATGGTGAAGGGGAAAGAGGCAACATGAAGCCAGCTCAGGTACATGGGAAGGGGTGGGGGGCCAACGGTGTGTGTGTGTGTGTAGGATAGCAAGGATGCTTCCCTTTCTGTTGCAAGGCTGAGAGGATTGGGCTCCTAGCCCTTGGTTCTGGTGCTCCAAGATGTCAAGGCTGCCCAGTGGGGAGACAGGAAAGTGGTCACACACGCACATCCCGACTAGCATGGCAGGTGCAAAGAAGCCCAAGCAATGAAACAATACAGGACCATGGATTTCCCACAGAAAACAATCCAGTTCTTTCCTCGGTGGGGCGGTGCTGTATCCTTCCTGCTTCGGAAATCTGCTTGAATTCATGTAAGCACCCTGTTTTGCTCCTTTAAACGACTAAACTAGTGGTGAAGGTAGAAAGCCAGGAAGAGCTATCCAGTGTTTTTCAGGGAGCGTCACATGTAGGGTTGTGTACCCCCTAGGTGGAAGTAAACTGAGAATCACTATTCGTCTCCTCTGCCCACAATTAGAAGATGCCTTTTCACCTTTATCCCTCATTTTGACATATTTATTACTTTGGCCCCAGTCACACTGGGGGGAAAGCCACAGCTAAAGTGCGGTTTTTTGAGCCCCATCAAAAGAGACATGCGGCGTCGGGATCAGACAGATTCCCCCGAGCTGCCATGCAGTTGCTCCCCGGCAGGGCTCTTTTTGTAGAAAAAGCCCAGCAGTAACTCATTAGCATAATAGACCACACCCAACAGCAAAACTCATTAGCATATTAGGCCATACCCCCGACAGCACCGCTTATTAGCACGTTAGGCCACACACACCACGTCACCAGAAGTGTGCTCATCCAGCCACACCCACCTTTCCCTTCTTATTCCGTTTACCTTGTTTGTTGTCAAAACCCAGGGCTTTTTTTGTAGCAGGAACTCCTTTGCATGTTAGGCCACACCCCCGACAGCACCGCTCATTAGGCCACACCCCCACGTCACCAGAAGTGTGCTCATCCAGCCACACCCACCTTTCCCTTCTTATTCCGTTTACCTTGTTTGCTGTCAAAACCCAGGGCCTTTTTTGTAGCAGGAACTCCTTTGCATGTTAGGCCACACCCCTGACAGCACCGCTCATTAGCCCATTAGGCCACACCCCCACGTCACCAGAAGTGTGCTCATCCAGCTGCACCCACCTTTCCCTTCTTATTCCGTTTACCTTGTTTGTTGTCAAAACCCAGGGTTCTTGTAGCAGGAACTCCTTTGCATGTTAGGCCACACACCACTAATGTAGCCAATCCTAATGAGTTTCTGCTGTTGGGTGTGGCCTATTATGCTAATGAGTTCCTGCTGGGTGTGGCCAACTCAGGAGCCAGCCGGAACTCCGTTCCTGTGTGTTCCTGCCCAAAAATAGCCCTGCTCCCCAGCACGATCAGATGCCGGGGCGGGGGGGGAGCCACAGATTGGTGAGCCCCTCTTGCGTGGCAAATCCTCCCGTGTGACCGGGGCCTTTACTGCCCTTTCCTCCTTCATTAAATCAAAACAACTGTTGACCGTATAACCTTAGCTTCTTATCTAGTTTTCACTTTGAATGTCTTAAAGCATCTGCATCATCTTAACATGTTAATTTGCTGTTCAGACTCTGTCTATAAGCCTGAATTCCAACTTCCTTTCCAGTGTATCTGAGGAAGTGTGCCTTGCACACAAAAGCTCATACCTTGAATAAACCTTTGTTGGTCTTAAAGGTACCACTGGACTCTAAACTTGTTCTACTGCTCCAGACCAACCACGGCTGACCACCCAAATTTTGTGACAGGTTAGGAGCTTTCGTGAGTCACTCCTCACGACTTCAAATGCATACACTGTTTAGAATTCATGACGCAGGGTCCTGTTCAAGTATTCTAAAGAAATAATGAATCATTATTTGCCAAACACGAAACATAATTCATTTTTATTTTAAAAGCCTACGGACTGCTGGACAACCAGGGGCATTAACACTAGCCACCTAGCACCGGTGGGCTTGTACTGTCTTACCCATTTCTGTTTCAGTCTTTCTCTGATGCCGCAAAGAGCAGAGAGAGTGGGGGAGCAGGCAGTGGGAAGCCCATGGGCACATGCAATCCCATGTAAAATCTGGAATTCACAGTGCTCGGTTGTAGTGGTGGCTGGGGGACACAGT